CTGCTCTCCTTGATGAGCAAGTATTAATTGAAATTATTTGTTTTAAAATTTATAAACATTCACAGTTGGTATCCTTGCCTGTTTCAGGACATATTATAGCATTCTTACCACCTCATCCTGTTGTCTCTGTTCTCCAGTCCTAAGAGGTTATCAACAGAGTGCCTTGAAACATTGAGACGATCTCCAATGGATTTCATATATTGCCATAACTGGAATCAGATTTATATCCATGTGTTCTGTTGCATAGGAATTGATCTGTTTGTTCTTACAAAGGCAGCAGGAGGATATTGTTAGATACATCATGATGGCAACATAATGAGCAAATAAATGAGACCTTGACAGTATGGCTGATGTTACTGTAATAGAGTTGTGTGAGTCAATCCTTGGATTGGTTTGGAGATTTAGTCCACAAATTTGCATTCAGTGAATTCATCTTTTAGAGTAAGGGGTTTTCTACTGGCAAGATCTGAGAGTGAGATATCTTTGTCCAAGATAAGTGATAGATTGTTGGAGATATGTAGGAGCAGTTTTACCTGCAAGTGCAATTCTATTCTATTCTGTTCTGTTCTATTCTATTTGATTCTTTTTATTGATTAACATTGATGCTGCAATTTGAAGACATGTCTGGTGGGAGAATCATGGAGGATGAAATCCAACATGACTTGGAAAACCATTCTTAGGGAATGCTACTGCCTTTCACACAGACTGCCATTATGGAAATGGATTCTGTACACTTTCTCCTCTTTTTGTTGGGTTGCAAATGCTTTCACTGGACTGCACAGAGAGTGAAAGCAGAGTGCTCATGAAATGAAGTGTTTCTCACATGAAATGCATCTTGGATACATTTTTAGTCAAGCCTTTATTTTTTTGTCTTCCTAGTCCTTAAAGTACTTCGAAAGTGAAATCTCAACTTACCTCAAACAAACTTGAAAGTGGCTTGGTTTGCATTTTTTTTAAAGAAGTATATCTGATATCTTAGGAGATAGAGAAGTATGTGGAGGGTAGTATATTAACATGAGCAAGTTCATTTGTCAGGGGAAGCAGAGAAAACTCAAGCAGAATGACCATAGGCTATAAAAAAACACTTGGCCATAGAGACATACTAAATCAGAGTTTCGCACTATGCCAGAATGAAGCTCCTGAAGAAAAGCAGAACAATTGTGCAAGCTATTCCTCAATTCAGTGAACTAAGAGCTGTCAGGCTGAAACAACAGAACTAACATATGAGGTTATTATAAGAGCATGGTATAAGAGCATGGAGGGCCCAGGAACACAACATCTTGGGAGGGTGAGACCCCAAAAAGTCAGAATTCTTGTTCTATCTGTGCTACCAGGTCTGGGCTACAAAAATCCAGACAAGCACAAGATGGCAGCAAATAATTAGAGATTTATGTATCTCTTTACTGCTATCTAGTGGTCATCCATCTTTTTGCAACTCAGATATGATAGCCCTAGTTCAATTCATGCTGTTTTCAAAAAGTCTATCACACAGATTAAGAGCAATTCAGTATACATTGAGTGGAAAAGGAGGATAGGGTAAGGTCCTCTTCCAGTATTTGTATGTATATCAATACACTGTTTTTCCTCCCTGTATCTTGAGCTTGATTGAAAATAATACTGTGCAGAAGACCATCTTCTATTTTCCTGAAAATTTTCTTCTCTTCAAAGCAGATTTCTATTTTTTAGTTCTTCTCAAGATGTTTTAGAAATTTTATTTTGACCAGTTTTGATCCTGTAAAGTGCAGGAGGCCAGGATCCTTTTATTACTGTTGCTGTTGTCATTATTTGCTCTTACAAATAACTCCATCACTCAACTGTCACACAGCTGCATGTGCTGTGCAGCACAAGAAGCCAAGTGAGTTCTGATAGCTAAGAAGTAACTGGGCAATGAAAGACAAGAGACTAGGCTGCATTCTGCTTGGCCACCTTGTAACTAAGATACATCCAGCACCGTAGCCATGAGAAGTTCAGCAATTTTCTCTTTTCCTTTGACAAAAAAAAAAAAAAAAGGAAAAAAGAAAAAAGAAAAGAAAAAGAGAAGTGTTTTCTTTTTCATCAACTTGAATGAAAGTCCCCTCCCCCCACTGCCAAGCAGGACATCACTCAAAAGTAAGGGCTCTTTTCCATGTTCACAGCAAGACTCATTCCTGTGTTGCTGGGTGGCATTAGATGGAAAAAAGCAGGCACGGTCCCGACAGCTATCTCTCTTTTTGCAATGCTGCCCAGAATGAAAACAAGATCATTCCAAAAAGGCTATGCAAAGAATAATGAAGCGCTGATGAGAGCTCTGCTGGGAAAAGCCAAGAATCTCAACCACCCCATGCATTTTCAAAAGTGAGTCAATATTTTTTCCAGGGAAAGAAACAGGCTATCCAAGCTTTGTTCTGTTGGCATTCATCTCTCTGTGGGGCAGCTGGGAGCAAGAATCTCAAAGCTACTTCCAACAAGCTCTGTGACAAAATTCTTTTGCATCCTTTTATAGGAAAGAGCTATTTGATGCCGTCAGTTAGTGAGGCTCATAGAATGGAACCATGCTGCAATGGCCCTAGTCCTACTAAAAGCAGAAAAAGAGGATCCTAGTAAGCTTCTTGCCCCCTTGGTAATTATAAATAAATCTTTCAAGCTGATAAGAAAAATGTCATAAGACTGCATCTGGGTGGATCATAGTTTTCCTTTTATTCTATTAGGCCTCCTTATACCTAATTAGGCTATTTGGTTCATGAGTACCCAAACCACCCCAAGAACACCAGCAAAGGTATCTCATATCATTTGCAACTTGATACTGTCTGATTCTAGTTTCGCAGGGAAAGGGAAGGTTTCAGACTGGGGACCTTCAGCATGCAAACCTTGTGCTCTGTCCTGAGTAATGACATTTTCCTTATATGTGGCATCTTCACTTTTGGATCCTACAGAGTTCTTCCTGTGACCCTCCCTCCCCCCATGTACATTTAGCATCTACATGGAGTGGTTAATCAAGTTCCATTACTAAGACATGCAGCCTACTTGTCTTTGGAGGCAGATGAGTCTATGCCTGGCTCTTGGAATAAATTGGAGGAAGCCCAAAGAGTTGACCCAGACAAGATAAAACCATTACTGATAAGTAGTTATTTAGGCTACATGAGCAACATTCAAACTGTTTCTGAAGGCATTGCACTCCCCATGGAGAATCAAGTTCATTACTTGAAAATGCCTTTGTATCCATCACACTCATTAGCAGCTCAAAGAGCCTTTGTGGTGTGGTGTGGCTTATACCAATTTAGGCTGGTGACCCAGCCTTCCCTCCTTGCTGGATACTGGCTGCAGCATTTCCTGATCTCTTGATCTACCATTTGGATTCCTGGAGTGGCCTGAAATAGAGATGACCACAACTGGTATAGAACAATGGCTATGGCAGAGTTACCAAGACTGCCAGTTTGGGCTTATCTGTATTGATCTGAAGGTCTATAAAACAAGTAACAGCTTGGAACCATGGCATCTTTCTTCCTTGTGTGCATATTTGTGTGCTAACATCATTTTCAGAACCCTCATATGGGTAATATATACAGTATATTTTCTTTAACTCAATGTGAAGCTTTCCTATTTGCCTTCAGTGCTAGGTGAAGACTTCATTGTCCTTTAAGGCTTTTAAAGCCTCCATTGTTTTAATCCCTTGAACATGTTTCTTTTTGGGGGGATGGATACCTTGCATCAATATTACTTCATGTGTTCTTGTATTTTACCAATCTGGTCTTTATACTGTTTTTATTGTGCTGGCTTTGCTTTTTTTTTTTTCTTTCCCCCTTCAGGTTTTATACTGACGTTTGAAATGCTTACATATTTTTGTCTGTGGAAATTTTTAATGATGCTTAGGGAACTGGCTTGATAGACAGCTTGCAAATCCAAACAACTGATAAATGAGCAAATTAACATTGCCCTCATGGTTTTTGATTATATTTATTTCTTTATCATATTTATATAGCAGCCAATCTCACACAAAGTGCTTATATAGTACTAAATATGGGGTTTCTGCTATGAGAACCATATATTGTTCATAAACCCAAGAATATGAGCAAAAGTGTGATGCATCAGTTTAGAGTATAGAGTTTAGAAAGGAGAGAATAGGATTGAAATTCATTAGCCCAGGAAACTCATTGACTCATTTACTCCAAGGTTTGTTGTGAGGTTAAAATGTGACAATCCTGCATCTGTTTTTCTAAGCTCCCTTGCAAAACAAACTTGTTAAATTAGCTGAAGTGTTCTTATAACAAAATCTCTTAAGAAAAAGGAAAACCCCTTATCTCTTTGGACAGAAAGTCACAGCAACAACAAGGGCTTTGGGAAGAACATTTTATTGCTAAGCATATTCTTGAACAAAAAGGCAATTATGAAAAGAAAAGAACTGGGGAAAAAGGAAAGGATGGAGAGAAGAAAGGAAACAAAAGCGAGAGATAACGGCACAATAACGTTAACAAAAATCTTCACAGTTCTGTTCAGAAAATAATAGTGAAATGGGAGAAGCTTCCAGACAGAAATGCATATGTTCCCCAAAATCTGTCCCAAACAAACAGATAGAAGAAAAGAAAAGTGGGTTTCCTAAAGAAAAAGAAAAAGAAAAAAAGAAAAAGAAAAAAGCAGAAAATCATTTCACAAGACTCCAAGAACAGCAGCAATCTTTTACAGACATCAAGATATAATCAACTCTATATATGTTTGGCCAGGTAGGCTGTTGAAAATCGTGCTTTCATATCTTTTTAAAACCTGTCTTTCTTTCTTTCTTTCTTTCTCTTTCTTTCTTTCTCTTTCTTTCTTTCTCTTTCTTTCTTTCTCTTTCTTTCTTTCTCTTTCTTTCTTTCTCTTTCTTTCTTTCTCTTTCTTTCTTTCTCTTTCTTTCTTTCTCTTTCTTTCTTTCTCTTTCTTTCTTTCTCTTTCTTTCTTTCTCTTTCTTTCTTTCTCTTTCTTTCTTTCTCTTTCTTTCTTTCTTTCTTTCTTTCTTTCTTTCTTTCTTTCTTTCTTTCTTTCTCTGTTGTAGTGTAAAAAAATAATTGAAAATTAAACCAAAGAAAACAAAACAAACCTCACACACACCAAAAAGATTTGTTAGCCAGGTAAGCCTCTTCTCAAAGCATATGAGAAGACTGCCTTCTTTTTATTGTTCCCATGTGCACGTGTGCATTAGATAACACGTCTTCAAAGATTCATGCGACTTATAAACACCAGCAAGAGTAGATTTCTAAACCTAAACAGCTGATTAGATTTCATCTGTACACAGGAAAATTGTACATTTTTTGTTTGCCAGAGTCCTCTAAGTTGTGTGTTTTCCCTGTTTCTATCAATCTGTCTTTCTTGTTTGCTTTCTTTATTATTATATTGTTATTTTTGCACATGATATTTGTGGCCAGAAAACACCAGTTGGTCATTTTTACTGTACAGTAAGTTGCTCTTTTTAAAAAAATAATGGAAGAGTTTAAAAAAAGAGAGACAATCAAACAAAATTAAGTACACTGAATATAATCAACAACCCAATGAAATCTCAGAGCATTATATGTACATCAGGGTACCCATCTAGAAATTACACCAGCCAAAAAAAGAATTGTAGTAAAATATGTAAACAAAATTTTTTTTGTCTGAAAATGGTTGTTGTTGTTGTTGTTTTTTTGACACAGGTAACTGTGACAAGGTTAAAATGCACACTCTCTTCACATTTTTTAAAATTTAGATTTTTGCTGTTTTGTAAAAACATTTTTTCTTTACAACAGTCTCATTTCATATTAAGATTTTAACAGCATTTCTGTTCCAGTCGTCCCATCAAACATACCATGATAAATATATCTGTGTCTGTATATATATATATTTATATTTATATTTATTTATTTATATATATTATACTATTAATAAGCTCCTTTTTTTCTGTGTGTCATAAGGACTTTTTAAATTTATCTTCTTTCATATAAAAGTGAAGGGAAAGGGAGAATAGGGCAAATGGAAGGACAGCAAATCAGAAATGTCAATCTACAAAATTAAATTGTCACATATGAAACATACCGTCATGATTTTGTTTTTTTTAAAAAAACACCCCTATTTTGTAATCCTCCATAACATTTTTTTACTTGTCTGACATATGGTTTTGTCACAAGACAAACTCTATAATCTTTCTAAAGACTTTATTCAGTTGATTACTACTCCTTGCATTCACTCAGTGTCATCAGCCAAGGAACCAGACAATGGCTCCTTTATTTTTGCTTGGATTATTCAATTCAGAATAACTATTTTGGTTTGATTTTGAAATTCTTTTTCTTTTTCCCCATAGTTGAGCAAATGGTAGTCAGACATGGCTAGGGGCTCCCAGTCAAAGAAGAAACTGTTATCCTCTTATGACTATGCTTTCAAATATTAGAGCCAGTATCTGGGGCTGTTCAATTTTCCATGACCATCATTTTCAGCATGATCACCATCACTGCCCTTTCCTCACCTTTGTTTTTTATGTTAACAACTTACTGCAGACAACAGATTCAAGAGACAACACAACCTGATATGTAGAGCAAACACTGTGGATAGAACTTGAGTTCATATATGGCAACAGTCTTTATTTATGATATTTTTTTCCCCAAGATTTCTTCTTGACTTATGTCCTGGCTCATTCTCCCAAAACCTCTCACAGAAAATGAAAAAAACTCAGACAAAAAATATAATGAAAACCCCAAACCATTTATTATTATTATTATTATTATTTCTTTCCCCCTCACATCTTGAAAAATGATACTCGGGCTGGACATGGCCAGATCAGTTGTTCTGTTTTGTTTCTAACATTTCCACTTTTTTTCTTTTTCTATTTTTTGTTATTTTTTAAAATAATAAACTGGAAAAAAAATAGCGTACAGTCAAAGATTGTGAACATCATTAAAGACTCACTTGGAGATACGAAACAAGTAAGCCATGAAGTCTTCTGCCCTTGCAGAACAGTTCAGCTGAGGAGGAGCTCGAAAGGCTTTTAAGTCTGCCAACATGGATATGCTGGGGAGGCCTTTTTCTGAACACGACGTGTGCTTTATAATACAGGAGGGCAGAGTTTGGGGACTCCAAGCAGTGACTGAAAACTTAGCAGTCAACGACTGAAATGTTTATGCTCGACATTGGTCTCAAACCACAAAGGGTCGCTCCCAATCTCGTTGGCTGCAACAGTTTTGGTTCAGTTATAGCTCATTCAATATTTATATATTTATATATAAATATGTATTTTTTTGTTTGTTTGTTTTTACACATAATATTCTTTGTCCTTGTTTTTCTGTTTCTTGTGGCCGCTCTTTGAACTCTGCTGCTTCTCCTTCATGAGCGTGCCATTGCTCTGGGCTGAGTTGCTGATGTAGTTCCGCGTCTCGTCCACCTGATAGGACCCTTCGTCCCTGTTCCTGTACTTGTACATGGCATACAGGAGGATCAGGATGCAGAGGGCAGCAGCAGCCACAATGCCGACGACCATTCCCGTTGTGCTGCTCGACTCACGGACCACCTCTGAGGCCCCCGGAACCCGTCTGATTCCTGGCTCCGTGGGGTTTGCTGTGGGCACATTACGGAACATGGGGGAAGTTATTAGCGGGCTCTTCAGTTTTGTGCTGTCTAGCTCATAGGCAGTGGGCAACGGAAGCAAGACTATATCAGGCTGGGGTTTGAGGTCACGGTTATTCATGTTGCCAGCTGGCAATTTGGGCACCATCCCAGTCGAGGACGAAGCTGTGGAGCGGATCAGCTCAGGGGACAAAGCTGTGATAGTAGTCCTACCAGTTTCGGAGACTTTGTTAGGTCTAAAGTCCTTGGCTTCCCACTTGGGTGCGTGTGCTTTGTAGCCACCTTCGAAGATTGAAGTGGAAAGACTTTTATCTGTTACCAAGGAGAAGGTGGTGTAAAAATCTTCATCATCAGTAGGGGGTAGGTTAGAGTCAAAAGTTTCCCCTGAGCCATACCCAGATATCACCAAGCCATCATCATCACAACCATCGCTGCCTTGGTCCGACAAGCAAGGTAACCCCGCCTCAGAGGTCATGGACAGGGAATCTTTGGTGGTCTCAATAATGGTGAGGAGGGGACGGAAGGTAGTGGGGAGTGTAATGAAAGGTGCACGAGTAGTAATAGGAAGGGTATCTAAAGGGTCTTCTACAAGAAGAGGGATAACTAATTCACCTCCTGGACAGAAGAAGAGAAAAAAAAGGAAAAGGTTAGTTCATCTCAAATGCAATGTAGGATGTGATGTTCAGTTCACCTGTCTCAAAGGCTGAGTGTGTAAAGCTGTATATGTATGTGGGCAGTTGCACCAAGCCAGCAGGTTTTAACCTGTTAACTTTCTCAGTGGGGCTCTACATTTTTGTACCCACCCCATTTAGATGTAGGATACATTAAATCCATCCTCTTTCAACTTTTCAGAGACAGGCCATGTGTGATTTGGTTGTCGAAGATACTCTCAGAGCAACTTTCAGAATTCCAACATTATATATTTCTTCTGTTCATTGTAAAATTTAAAGGCTTTTCAGTAAATGCATGTTTCATTGTAATGTCTACTTAGTTAGAAATATATTCACTCTTTTCTTTTAATTCACAGTATTTCAAAGATCTTGAAAGTAAAATCTCCCTCTAGTCATGTTAACTTCTTGGAGGCTTCACAGACATATCTATGCAATTTATTGGCAGCATTACAGAAGTAACTTGATATTGCCCTATTTTGGGATATGTTTTGATTTTCTTGCCTAGCCAACAGCCTTTGGAGTCCCCAAAGATCCCAAAGATCCCAATCTAAATACTAACTGAGACTTGTTAACTTCCAAGCTCAACAAAACTTCTGAAATGTCCATTTGCATCTCCTAAGAACCTGGAAAGTTGCATCCATTTACAGATGCCCGATTTAGCCAAATGGCAATTCTCCTACCATCACTATTACCACTTTCATAATCATGGCTGCCTATAATCTGTTGGCTATGTCAGACACTGAAATAAATAAATGGTGTCATGGAATTGCATTGGTATGCCAGGCATGGTCTTGAATCCAAGAAAGTGTCTGCTGTCAACCATCAGGATGAGAGGATGAGTAGTGTCAAAGTAGCACTGAATCCCAGGATACGTTTGGTAATAGAGGAAATATTTCTGGGCCCTAATCATGCCATCCAAATAAAGAATGGACTTTCAAAATAATTTAGGCACTGGAATTAAAAAAGAAAAAAAGGTAGCAGAAAACAAATGCAGATAACTTTATCCTTCAGAGGGTAGAGGAAGGCACAAGATCACCTGTTGTTCAGTTGATACTAATCAACTGAAGACTTAGTCTCGAAAGTAGAAATAGAAGACGCATTTGAGGAAAATAGTCTTGTTTTGCTAGAATTCTTGATTTTAAGGGAAAATTATTTATTTAATCTGTATACATAGTGCCAGTTTCAACTGACTGTTAACACCTTACAACCAAAACATAAAATCAATAGAATAAAAGCAACAAAATAATGCTATAATTATAAAAATCACAGGAAATCAGTTCAGTGTGGTTGAACACATTTTAGTAGATTTTAATAAACTCAGAGCAATGATGGATAAAATTCCATCACAGAAAAGCTCAAGATAGATGGGAGCTTCTCAGAAAGGCAAATATTAAAAGCACAACTGCAAATAATTCCAAGAGGAAAAATAATGAAAAACAGCAGAAGAAGCCAATGTGGCTGCACAAAAAGCTCAATGGGGGGTTGAAAGTGAAAAAGGAGGAGAGAGAGACAGGTCACCAAGGAGAAGTGCATATAGGTGGTCCAAAATTGTAGAGATGGTGTAAGAAGGGCTAAAGTTCTGAATCTGCTGAGGTTAGTGAAGTAAACCAATAATAGAACAAGAAAAAGTTTCTCCTGGTATATTTAAAATAAGTGGAAGTGAAGAAAAGTGTAATAGCTCTTGTTGCTAACAGGTAACAAAGAAAAGGTGGAACTACTGAACTTCTTGTTTAAGAAAAGAATATGTGTGCCACCAGGAAATTGTTAAAAGAAGGATAAAGAGGCAGGACCGATACTTGAGAGAGACAGAAATATCATCAGGGATACCTACGTACTTCAAATGAATTTAAATCTCCAGGATGAACTGCATCCTAGGGAACTAAAGGAACTCAGTTGTCTGACCACACTTTTATGAGATAGGTTGAGAAATTCTGGAAAATGGATTTAAGCCAGATGGGCAAAAAAGGGAAAAAGGGATCCAGGGAATGATAAAAATACCTGGAAAGATTCTAGTGTTGGTCATAAAGTGACTGATCTGTCAGAACCTTAAAATAATGCTGTGATTACCAGATGTCAACTTGGATTTGTCAAGGCCTATACCAATCTTTTTTAAAAAAATTCATTGGTAGATTATAGAAATGCTTTAGATGCATGAAACCTTGATTTCAGCAAAGGCTTTGACCAAGTACCCCATGATATTCTAAGCATATTAAATGTGGTCTGGATAGCATGACAATCAAGCGGATATATAGCTGTCCTGAACATTGTGAGCAAAGTTGTCATCAATCATTGGTTCCTCACCAAACTTAAGTGAGACAATAAATAGTGTGTCCCAAGACTCTGATCTGGGATTTGAAAATGTTCAACATATTTTTGAATTAATTAGATGAAGAGATGGAGGGAATGCTTACAAAATCTGCAGGTGGCACCAAATTGATGGGATGCCTAATACACAATAACACATCGATCAAATTGAAAATGATCCTGTGCTACAGAAAAATTAAAATTTAAAAGAGGCAAATGCAATATGTAATATGCATGGATGCCTGATTTCTTCAATTAGGAAACAGAAATCAATTGCATAATGTAGAATGAGGGGCATCTTCCCATCATCTTCCAATGTGCTAAGCAGCAGCCTGTTGTCCATAGTGTAAGGCATCCATTTCACATAAAGACCCACTGGCAAAATGACTAAATCTCTCTCTCTCTCTCTCTCTCTCTCAGTGGAGGAGGTCAAATCATACAGCTCAACATATTGCCTGTACAAGGGAACCTTAATTTAGAGTACTTGTAACCAATACACATCAGAACCCCAATGTAGTATCATCAATAACATTCAGTTGAAACAAATGTATGTTAAGTTATTCTCAATTAACTCCACTGGTTCAAAGGGACTAAGTCCTCCATAATGTTAATTGGTTGGGTGTGCAGTGATGACATGATTTACATAATATTGTTCTTCTTTGGGATGGATAGAAATATACCCAATAAGTCACTCAGTAAATAACTACACCCTCCTGGTTCAAAATATTTAAGTCTAACTCGAAACAGTCCATAAAGCAGATTCAAATGGAATTGTTTCCAGAAGAGAAAGCAATAATGCAGAATATTATATTGCTGAAAATAAGTAATCATAGGCACAAAAGCTATTTTGGAACTGTTGGAATAGTTCCTAGCAGTGGAGGTCCTTGTTGATTTCTTCCTGTACTAAGCAATTATTTTATTTAATCTCTGCTGTTGTTTGGACCTACTATTATCTCCTTTTGATTTTTATTGCTGTCCAAATATTTAGTTTAATATTAAGAATGGTTTCTCAGTTTATAAGAAAGTAGTTCCCTTAATTTGAGCTTCACTTCTGGTGACTTCATGGATCTGTCCATCTAGTTTTCTCATATTCTGTAGCACTACAAAAGGGGTTTGCCATTGCCTTCTGGAATGTTTTTCAACTTTCCAGTCTAGCCTACTGCCCTGGAAGTATCCCATCCCATGTACTAATCAATCCTGGCCCTGCTTAGCTTCCAAGACCAGAAAAAGTCAACTTGGTGCTATCACCTGTTTACACCTTCAGATTTATATCGAGGCTTTTTTTTTTAAGGTTAACATGGAATCAAGCAATGTTTTGACTGGTGAATGCAAGTTCCCGAGCATCGTTCAAGGTCTGTTGAGAATGCAATTTAGCCAGCGTTATATAATGGCATTCATCTGTCGCATTATTATGCCATCTGTGACTTAGGATTGAAGTCGTAAGTTTGTCAGTTCTTAATTGCCTGTCTAAAGCATCTGAAGTGCCTTTGTTATGAAACTTTCTGATTTTTATAAAGAATTTAGTGCACAGCTGAAGTGCCATCTACCCAAGGCTGGTGAGAAAGACAACTATCTTTTTTTAGACTGAGGATAGAATATGGAAATCTTAGCTATTTTGCAGTTACTTTCATTTTGGTTTGTTATATTATTAATAGTTTATTTTTCTTTTACCTTGACATTAATGCTTATAGTCAGAGAATTAGCCTGGCAGGGTATAGAGGGATCAATTTCATAATAATTCAGGGTGGAGTGGTGGGGAGATAGTTGCACTTATCTATAGAAACAACTTTGAAAAGTAATTCTACAATGTTTGGTAGGCTCATAGCAGCAAAGGAAGCAGCAAGTAAAGGCTGGGGAACTGTAATGGGCTGTGAGAATAACCTTGGAAGACAGGAAGAAGAGCCACAGCCTAGACAATGGTCTGATAAAGTCCAAAGGAGGGAAGGGGGTAGAGAAAGCATCTCAGAATGGATCCTCCCTAGTTCTCTGGAAAGTAAAGGCAGGGGAGGGGGAAGTCCTTTCAGACTTGCAAGATTCTGTTACTGAAACCTTATAATAAAGGTAGCATTATTACTCATGGTTTTGGTTTCCTGTATGGAGTACCTCAAAGGCTGACAGGAACTCAGCACAAGGAAACCAAGAGCAAATTGATGCTAGGATAAATTAAATTGAACATGTTGAAGTTTGGGTGGAGGATCCAAAAGAAATCTGTCTATAGATGCTTATCCTAATTCCTTTTTTGAATGCAGGTCCTTGTATTGTATGGAGGGGCATGTGATTTTTAAGTGCTCAGTTAGGAAGTGGAATGCTCAGAGCATGCAGGAATGCCAAATGTATCAGTTTGCCTACTGGCCTCAGAAATATTGTCAATATGTTTTTGTGTACTTCATGTGACACTATATTAAGAAAAACATTAGTCTTACTCATCTGTACTGACCAATCTACTATGCTCAGTTCTTGTTATTCTGTCATTATTCTGGCAATTGCTTCATTATTCAGAATACAAATTCCAAAACTCAAAGGAATAGGCAGAAGTTCTAAAGATAGCCTACATGAATCTTGAGTAGATGAATCAAGCTACTAATTAAGAATTGTTAGATTAAAAAAGAAAAAAAACCAACAGATCATGCAGTAGTTGAA